TGAACACCCAGGACTGATCTCCTTTAGGATGGACTGGTTGGATCTCCTTGCAGTCCAAGGGACTCTCAAGAGTCTTCTGCAACACCACAGTTCAAAAGCATCATTTCTTCAGTGCTCAGCTTTCTTTATAGTCCAACTCTCACATCCATACATGACCACTGGAAAAACCATAGCCTTGACTAGACGGACCTTTGTTGACAAAGTAATGTCTCTGCTTTTTAATATGCTGTCTAGGTTGGTGATAACTTTTCCTTCCACGGAGTAGGTGTCTTTTAATTTCATGGCTGCAATCACCATCTGCTATAGTTTATCTTAAATTATTGATTATGTTGTACTTATCTCCTGTTCCTTTCCAAAAGGTATTTGAACCATGTCACAACAAAAGATGGGAGTAAAATATGGTTACTAAAAATCCTTTTAGGAAAGGAAGCTAACATGGTAACTACATATTGTTTATATCTAGTATCTAATTCTAGCCAGTATAGTTGCTGTGATTGAATATCAATTTTGCTTTTGAGCTTCCTGGACTATGAGTTCTCTTTATCAGAAAGAGGAAAGCATGACTTCCTTAGCAGTAATAGATTTTCCTGAATTCTAAAAGAAGAATATTAAATAATTATATCATAATCAGCAAATCATTAAGAAAACAAAACGGAACCACTCTGCCAGGCGTAAACTCTGCTCTTAAATTGCTCACAGTCTTTGGAGTTGTCAGATAAGAAAAGGAATAATTGTTTAAATAAAATCCACATTACCAGAGTACACAGGAGAGAGGCATTTAATCTAAATTCTAAGAGAGGGCATAAGCAGGAAATTCTTTTCCAGGGGAAAAATTATGGTAAACTTTGAGACAGAATTAAAGTTAACTAAGAAAAGAAGGGACTAGGAAGAGATAATTGAAGGAAGAAGGAAAAACAGTATATCCTAAAGGTGCAGCATGCATAATAACTAAGCCAGAAGAGATTGTCTTTCACAGTTAATTTCTGTAATTTGATATGATTGGACTTTAGGGAGCAAATTTAAAAGAAGTAGGAGTTGAAGTAGCCCAGGGGTGACTGTATGTGTGTGTGGTTGTTTTGGGGTTTTGGTTTGTTTTTCTTTTGTTTTTGAAAGTGATAGTCTTTTTCTGACTCTTTGTGATTCCATGGACTGTAGCTGTCCCGGCTCCTTCATCCATAGACTTCTCTAGACAGGAATACTGGAATGGGTTGCCATGCCCTTCCCCAAGGGATCTTCCCAACCCAGGAATCTAACCCAGGTTTCCCACGTTGCAGGCAGATTCTTTATCATTTGAGCTATCCAGGAACCCCTTTTGTTTTTAATAGCCTTTAAATATTAGTACCCCGACTTCCAAACCTGCCAGAGAACTCTCTGGGGTGCCTCAGCAAACTCTCAGGATGCTGCAGTATACTTTAAAATTTTCAAGGAAACATGGTGATACCATTCAGTGATACCATTTGTTGCATACCATGTGAGCTAACTAGAGTCTGTAAAACTTCAATATTAAGGTTATTCTACAACCCCTATGTACTGGCAGAATAGAAGATGAAGGTGGGAATGTCCAATCTGATTTCAAGTTTTGAGAAATTCTAAGTTACCCAGTGGGCAGATCCTGTTAATAAGTAACTAGTTATTAAAGAATGAAATAAATATTAATTTTTCTTTCAATGTATATTATTTTAAACATACTAAATTATTACAAGTATTGATTAAGTTATTTAGACCTTACTACTTAATAAATGGAATTGTTAGGTATTTCTTCATACCCCTCGTCTATGGGGCATAAAGAAAAAAATTCCTGAGACACTTAAGTTCTGGATTAGTACCTAGTATTAAAGTATAGATTTGTGAAAGCAATTCATGTGGTGTTTTCTAAGTCTATAAAGATAGAAGCAAAAATATCAGATATCTAGAGGAGTGCAGTTAGCTTAAACTTTTTCATTTAAGAATTGTTTGCCTCAGTTCACTTTACCTGAAGCTAGACAACAGAAATTTGGGATTTTATGTTTCTATAATAGTCATACGTATTTGATGACCAGTCAAAGGTGGATGTATAAACTTTGGAAACTGAATAAATAGATGATAGGATTTACATTCCATTATAAATAGTGACAAACCTAATAGACATTTTAGTCCTGATAGGAGATCACTCTGTTTGTGTTTAAGGCCAGTTGGTGTAGATCACCTATTTCAAGAATTTGTAAGAGCTATGATACCTAGAAATTGTACATACAGATATGAAATTTTATTTGTTCTACTCTTTTTTTTTTTTTTTTTTTTGGTCAGAGTTTCAAAGGCATTCTTGGCCCTAAAAGGTTAAGAACAAATTTATACATCAACTGTATACTTCAGTTTTGGGTTTCCCAGGTGGTGCTTGTGGTAATGAACCCTGCCTACCAATGCAGGAGACTTAAAGAGACTCAGGTTCAATCCCTGGGTTGGAAAGATCCCCTGGAAGAAGGCATGGAAACTCACTCCAGTATTCTTGACTGGAGAATCTCATGGGCCAAGGAAACTAACTGGTGGGCTACAGTCCATAGGGTCTCAGAGAGCTGGGCACAACTGAAGAGAGTTGGCACACACATACTTCATTTTTTGCATAGTATGCCTGTTGGCACCAGGTAAATTCATACCAAAGCCAAGACAAAATCCTGATCTTTGCGCCTATTAACTCACTGTTTTGCAAAATACATGTTTTTCAGAGGTTAAGAATTAGACATAATTCTTGCACCAAGAATTTAAATAGAACTAATTTTATGGGTGTGATGAATTCTCAAAAAATTAAAGAAAAGCTTTCAATTACTTAGATCTGTGGTTCAAAAGGTACATAAAGGGTGAACATCTCTTCTGTGCCCTTCACAAACTTAATTCCTCATCCCAAAGGTAAAATTTAACTTAAAAACCAATAGTGTTATAGTATTCAAATTTAAAATAGTGAATGTATCAGTATAAATAGCCAGAACATGTTTTCTTGTTTTTAAATATGGATTAGATGTGCTTACCTGATTTGATTTTCATTTTAAGATGAATATCTGATACTTTGTATTCTCTTAGCTTCTATCAGTAGGATATTGTTTAGACACTTTTTTTTTTAGTAGTTATTTTTATGTAATATCAACCAAATTATCAATTGGGATAGTTAGCCATGAAATAAATAGAGTTCTAAAATAGTTTTCCCAAGGCCTAATGCTTTTAATTGCTTAACTAAAAAGTGGTCATAAGGATATAATTTTATTTTTGTGAATATTATTTTTAAGAGGTTTCTTATAGAAGATAAAATAGAATTTTATCTTACCTATGGAATTTAATAATAATCCTTACTTATTATTAAGTGACTATATACTGGGTCAGAAATTATATTTGGAATTTCACATATAATATTTTTAATTACCATGTTATCTCTGAAAAATGCCTAACATTTAGATGTTGCAGACAATTAAACTGAGTATTTGAAAGGTTAAATAACTTGCTCAACATTCGCGGTGTAGGTGCTGCTAACATCTAACTTGGGTACTGTTTTTACAGCCCAAAGATGCCTTTTTGTGCAGATGTGTTTTATTTTAATGTAAATTTGTCAGGTAATGCTATTTTTAGTGAGTGGGTGGAGATTTTGAAAAATTGCCTTTAGTACAGTTTTATTCTTATACTGAATATTTTACTGAGCAGATAACTTTTTCTAAACTCCCACATTTGTGTGCTTGTTTTTTTCTGTAGGGCGATTCCCGAAGTCTTCCTTTTTCTGAGAATGTGAGTGCTGTTCAAAAATTAGACTTTTCAGATACAATGGTGCAACAGAAATTGGATGATATCAAGGATCGAATTAAGAGAGAAATAAGGAAAGAACTGAAAATCAAAGAAGGAGCTGAAAATCTGAGAAAAGTCACAACAGATAAAAAAAGTTTGGCTTATGTGGACAACATTTTGAAAAAATCAAATAAAAAATTAGAAGAATTACATCACAAGCTACAGGAACTAAATGCACATATTGTTGTATCAGATCCAGAAGATGTTACAGGTATTTTATTTGATGTTTATATAGTGTACTAACAAGAATGTATTATTTTACAAATAGTAAGATTTTTGCCATGTATAGTCTTTAGCCTTAATGAAAGTACAGGGGCTATATTTTCTCCTACAGTTAAGGTCTTATTTATATTTTATTCAGAAGTGCATTGAGTTGATGGATGTGAAGATTAAAATATTTACTTAGAGATGAGTAATTCTGCTGTCTGCTGTCTTACTCTTAGTCACTAAGACATTACTTATTTTCCATTATTAGTGTTTTTGTATTGGATCAACCACATGCTCTTACCTGATTCATTCTTGTGATCAGCAGCACGAGTTTGCCAGAGGACTTTTTAAAGTTAAAAATGCACTCTATGACCAAGGGATATTTTTATTTTTTTGCAAATGTCATTGTTCAAACCTGTGACCTCTGTTTTTTGTGCTCTAAGTGACTGAATTAACAACTTATTCTACCAGGCATTTTGTTTAAAAAAGAAGAAAAACATTTAAAAAGCCAAACATTACTTTTTTTCCTTCAGTATAGAAAATGAAAGGAAAATACAACCTGTAAGTCCAGCTTAAGAGCATAATTTCTAAACAGTAGAATTAACAGATGTTCATATTGGAAATTTTTCAAATGGTACAGAAAGTAAAAATAGCAAAATGACCTCTATCCAGTCTAGGCCCTCTCCCTAAAGGTAGTATTGCTAACTTTTTTGTTGTATATCCTTACAGAAAAAAAAAAAGTCTGTATTTGTATCAGTGTTCATCCATTTATATTTATACATTCTTTCTAAACTTTTTACTTAACAAATCATATAAGACACATTTGATCTAATAGTTTTGTCTTTGCAAAGAAAATATTTTAAACTAGTAATTGAATGTCTATAATCCTTTATTTATTTGTAAAGACAAAGAGTGGTATATGTAGAATGATGTATCTAGCACCATAGAAATTCTAGAAGAACCTGTGTGATTAGCTAAGAAAAAATGATATAAGTAAAATTAAAGTGAAGAAAGTACATAAATTTGATTAAGATCCATAAATTGCCAGTCTTAAATGTTGTACTTCTGATATTCCATGTACTTGATAGAACTTGTTTTATTACATTCCTTTCAACATCTGGGACTTACCTTAGGGATTTCATTTGGAGATTTAATGTAGAGATTTTAATCATGTAAGAATAATTAAATCTTAAAAGTGAAAGAAATCGTAAAGAAACCAGTCTTCTTATTTTAGAGCTGAAATAATCCCAAAGATGTAAATTAATTTGCCCAGAATTACAAAACTAGCTAAAGAACTCTTCAATCTAGTATTTTTTTATCCACGTGTTCAATAATTACATTATAAATGGAAATTTGTATTATGAAATGCTTTTTTTAGCAATATCATATAAACTTGGAAATAGCCTGTTCTGTTGGAACTCTGCCGAGCTCTACATTCTTTGCCCATTACTTCTTTAGGAGAGTTCTAAAATAAGAAACTGCTGGAGCTTTAAACTCCATTTAGAGAAAACATTTTGCTAATCACAAAATACCAATAACTACCTTCTAATTGGAATATAAAAGTGTTTTTACCACATAGAGAATAACCCATTTGGTTTCCCAAGTCGTTTTTAAACAACTAACTTTACTGACGTGTATAAATTACTTAACGATAAAACGCACATATTTTAAGAATATGATTTGATGTGTTTTAACAAATGTCTATATCCAGGTAACCATCACTACAGCTAGGGATCCTGACCATCACTTCAGTGGTTCTTGTACAGTATACATAATAGTCCCTGTTGGTCTCTGATTCCCATCCCTGGGTTTAGGTAACAACTGGTTTGCCTACTCTCACTTTAAATTAGACTTGTCTTTCCTAGCGTTTCATATGAAGAAATGACCTTATAGACCTTCTGTCAGATTTCTTTTCTACCTCAACACTTAATTTAGATATCACTGAACCCTTCCTTGATTTTCTCTGATTCTCTATTCTGGTTTGTCCACTCATTGTTGTATTATGTTGTATTACAGTTCACTTCTGCACATTTTTATAGTACTTACTAAACTGTATGATCCTTGAGGACAGGACCCTTTTTTTATTCAGGTATTTTCAAGGTTTATTATAAAAGCATGAAACATAGTAGGTGTTTAGTTGTGAATATTATATCTCAAAAAAAAAATCCCAGTTAATAAAAATCTTATATTAGTTTTTATAATTATAATAATACCAAACCATAATTTATCATGGTATTTTATTTAATAACTTGGGGAATAAAACCTTAAATAAATTTTAGGATAAATATTTCCAGAAACTTTCTTTGCTGTTCTTTTGACTTATCAGATAATTACAGGGCAGATGTTCTTTGAAGCGTAACTTTCTACTGTTACTTCTTAATGCTTAAGTTTGTTGCAATGAACTTGACAAGTTGGTTAAAATTTGAATGTATTTAAAAGACAGTTCTCTTTGCAAATGTCATATTCACACATCTTGGTGATAAGTTGGGTTTTTTTTTGCTTTGTTTTTTTTTGCTTTGCTTTGTTTTGACTGCATTAAAATCAACAATAGCACAGAGGATTAAGGTAGTTAATCATTAATTTTAGGTCAGATTGCCATGAAATTTTATGTTTTACATTGCATACTAAAGTAGACAAAATCATTTAACTTGATTAGATCTGACATAAAGAGTCAAGGACCTGGTGTTTGCTTTCAGTTCTCTAAAGTATGTGGATTAATAAGTATGTACAGAAGTATTTGGCTAATTTCTGTTGTCTTGAGGGTATGTGAGCAGAATGAATGGTTCAAGGAGAGAGGGATAGAATATAAATTTGCATTGTATATGTGATTGCCATGTAAGCAGTTAGGAGACCTGCTTTTAACTCACTTCTGCAGTAATTAACTCCTTTAGCCATTAGTTTGTAATTTGTAAAATAAGGACATTTATCAGATAAAATTTAAGACTTTAGCCATAAAAGTCTCTGAAATATTGCTTAGTATAATATGAAGATGATCATAGATGACTGTTAATGTCTAAAATATGTGTTCATTTATGCTTGAGTAGTAAAAAGTGAATTTTTTGATATTCTCTTCATGTTTATGATACTATAAGCTTCCTATTCACCTTCCATATACTTATAGGATAGTCTCATGGAGTATTATTATTATGCCCACTTGGAAATTAGAAACATATTATAAAATGAGGCTGACTTTATGTTGTGAAAAAAGTTTTGGATCTCTGTAAAGTGGATTTGTAATCTAAGTCATAGTTGATACCTAAAACTCTAAATATTTAAGAAAAAACTGATTTTCTGAATCTTTGGAATCTTATATGTTATCCCTAAAGAAGAGGACAAGAATATTTCTCATATTTTATTAGGTATAACTAATAATTTGTATAGTTTAAATCCCTCTGTTTTTACCTTCCTTCTCTTGCCCTCTTCCCATTTCCATTTTCTCAGACCCCAACAAACTTAGATTGATTTTTTGCCATTTGAGGTGGGCAATATTTTCTTTAATATGTAGAATATTCAGAAAGGAAGTATTGATTTAGTATAGAACTAATGGTGTTGGAATTTTGTGTGTGATTTTGTTTGTTTGTTTTGGCTGCAGCGCACAGCATGCATTATCTTAGTTCCCCAACCAGGGATTGAACCCATGGCCCCTGCAGTGGAAGCACAAAGTCCTAACTATCGGACTGCCAGGAAATTCCCTGGAATTTTTTGGAATTAACTTTGGAAACTTCTCAATTTCTGAGCTGTATCTGTATCGAGGGAGCCAACTTCATGACTAAAATGTAGTTTATGAAGTCTTTCTTGAATGAGTACAAGTGAGAATTTAAATTTCTTTTTTATTATTGGCCTGTCCACCTAAATGTAGCATAGAAATTATAGTTGACTTTTATGTTTATTAAAGTGTATAGCTTGATTTATTATGCTGTTTCTACATAATCCTTATTTCTGATTGAATTTCTCATTTTGAGGTAAGCAAAATGTTGAATTAAGTTGTGAACTCCTAAGGAAAGGATTGCCATTAGGTTGGTAACTATAATCATTAATTAACAAGTCACTTTTAATGCCTCTGGATTTATTTTCTTGTCTTTAAAATCATGAAATTAGTTGATAAATAGACACCTAATATGTGAATTCTTTGATGATATATTTTTTAAAGTTAATACACAGTAAAACTGATTCTTCCTGGGTACCTCATTCAGTGAACTTTAACACACAGATAGGTTCATCTAAATATCACCACAATCAGGAAAAGGGGCAATAGTATCCCTTTGTAGTCACACCCTCTTCCTACTCCATATCCCCTGGCAACCACTGATATGTCCTCTGTCACTTATAGTTTGCTTTTCAAGAATATCATATAAATGCAGCCATAAAGTTTATAACCTTTTAAGTCTGACTTCTTTCACTCAACATATTGCTGTTTGAGAGTCATCTAGGTTATTGCATTTAGCAATAGTTTATTCTTTTTTACTGTTGAGTAGTAGTCCATCATATAGATGTACCACAGTTTATTTATCCATTCTTCCACTGTGAACTATAGAGTTCTTTTCAATTTTTTAGCAGTTATCAATAAAGCTGCTATAACTGACCATTATCAAGTTTTTGTTTGAACATGTTTTCAATCCACCTTGGTAAATACTTAGGTGTGTGATTGCTAAATCATATATTAATATGTTTGATAATATAAGAAACGGCCAAAGTGGTTGTATTATTTTTCCAGAGTGACTATATTATTTTTCATTCTCACCAGCAATATATGAGAGTTCCAGTTGTTCCACATCCTCTCCAGCACTTGGTATTGTTAATGTATTTTTTTAAGCAGTTTAACTGGTGTGTACTCATTGACTTTATATATTATTGTAATTAGGAAGAGGAAAGAAGAAAAAAATGGCACCATCTTAAGCAGAATTTATGAAAGAATTGTGCATGCTGTAGGTGCAGAATGTAGGCCTTTTCTACCAAGAGTTAGGCAATAACAGTGTTTAAACATTAAGGTGTCATGTAACAGAT